CTCCTCCCCCTCCTCCTCCTCCTCCTCCTCCTCCCCCTCCCCGAGGGGCGGCGGCGGCTCTGTGGCCCCGTGCGGCGCGGGCCGCGGCGGGGCCGCGGCGCGGCCTGCTCACGGGCTGGCCTCCGGGGCCGCCGCGCCGTGCGCGAGGGCCGCGCGCCGCTCGAGCTCCTTGGCGCTGGAGGCGCCGGTGTCCTTCACGAAGCTCGCGAAGTGGCCCTCCTTTGGCGGGGGGGCCCGGCCCGCGGGGCCGCGGACCCGGGCCCCCGACGTCCCGACTTCTTCGCCCCGTCGGACCCATGAGGTCTCAGCTAAAGTCGGGCCTGTCCCCCTACAGGGGGATTTTCGACGCAAAATAAAAAATACCCCAAAAATAATCCAAAAATAATCCAAAAGTAGGCCGGGGACTATCTTTTGAGCATGTCCCCTACAGGCGGATTTTGGACGAAAAAAATTCGGGGGCGCGCAAACATAGATGAGCGGTCCATGGATTGGTCGCGCGGTCGCCAAATCCATGGATCGGGGGAGGTGCCCTCCCCAAAATGCGGCTGGTGCCACCTCGCTCGGCGGCGGAAATCCGCGATTTCCCATGGAAACGGGACCCGTCGCTAATCCACGCCCCCTTGATCCATGCTTGCAATCGCCTGACAGTGAGTTTTACGATGTTTTGATTATGTCGCGCCGTCGGGCCTCAGGGAAGGGGGTTAGGGGGAGGGGGGCGAAGTTTCTCGGAAGGGGGCTGCCTCTTAGAAGGCGCCGGCCTTCTATCTATGACGAAGCCCGCGCCCTGTAAGAAGCTTGTGAGAAGCCCTCCCCCCTCCAGCAAGACGAAGCCAAGACGAGGATAAAATCGGGTGAAGATAAATCGGAGATCTCTGAGATCCGGCGGCTCTGGGGGATGTCTCGGGCGCCGAAGCCTCCTAAAGGCGCACTCCTGAACGCTCTGAGAACGTTCCAGGACGCTCTGTAACGGATTTATCCCAACCCTCGCCCCGTCCGGTCCTGCGGGGCCCAAGCTGCGGTCAAGATCTTTTGCCTAGCGTGTCGCGGCGGACGCCCTGGCGACACGCTATGCCTTGCGAGTGGGTCGCGTGTCGCTCCGCTCGGAGGGGCGCAAGGCTCGGAAAGGCTCAGGACGTTGACGCTTGCGGACCGGGACGTGCGCGCAGAAGCATGGTGGCCCAGAACTGGCGGCGCGACACGCTATGCCAAAGCTCCTGACCGCAAGACGAAGCCAGGGATAAATCGGGGATCTCTGAGATCTGGCGGTTCTGGAGTGTGCATCGGGCGCCGAGGCCTTCTCAGAGCGTTCCAGACCGCCCAGGAACAATCATCCCTGTCTTAGCCCCGCCCGACAATCGGGTTGACCCAAAAGGGGGTCCAGCGACAAGGGGGTGGTGCAATAGATCGGGTGCGATAGATTTGTGGGGTTGCAGTAGATTTGGGGCGTGCCACACGTTCCGGGGCGCAAATGTATTGCTGGGTTTTCGCGTGCAATCCATTCGTCGCAATACAGTGCAATACAATTCTCTGGCACGATACATTTGCGATACAATTGCCCCAAATCTGTTGCACCACCCCCTTTCAGCTGGACCCCCTTTGGGGGCGCAAGGAGACAAGCCTCCGAAGGATGCCCTTCCGGATCCTCGCGCTCTTTCCCCAAGCTTCGGCCTCCGGGGCCGTTCTCGGGCCCCCGTACCATCAGGGATGGATCTGTGTTTCCACCCATCCTCCCTGACGACCTACCAGACCACCCCAACCCAACCCGAAGACCCGAATTTCGGGTTGGGGGGGGTATGGGCTCCATATGTGTTTTTTCGATGTTCCCAGACCCCCCCCCCCACTAGAAATGCAGGGTAAATCTGAGCCTTCGGGTTGGGTTGGGGTGGTTTGGTGGGTGGTGATGCGGCCCGCGTGGCCGTGTCCACCTTTCCCGGCCGGGGAATTCCCCCCGAGTTCTAGAGTGGCACGGCCTTCGGGCCGACCGGGAGTAGCGCAGCGTAGCGGTGAAAACCCTGTCCCAAGGGAAGGGGCCGGGCACTCTGATGGGGCTCTGATGCCTGGAAGAGAGAGAACAGGACGGCATCCGCACACCCTCCCTCGGTTTGGGCTTCTGTGAGCCTCCTGGGGGGATCCCCTCGACACCACTGCTGGACTCGCACTCGCCTCTGATGCTCAGATGCACGACTACAGTCGGGGCGTTGCCCCAAGGAACCCTAAATAAGGAACGAGGTCCCTTTTTCCCAAAAGCTAAACTCCGATTTCCCATGGAAAACCTTAGGGGAACCCAAGGCAAATTGCACAACAATCAAGGAACACCGAGCCCCTCCCCGACGAAAAGGGTTCCTTCTTCAGGGCCCCGACTGTACAAGTTCCCCAGATCACCGAATCAGGGGCCGGATCACCGCATCACCAGGACAGTGATTCACTCCATCAGAACGCTGGTCCTCCAGGAGGCAGCCAAATCACTAATCGCAGGGTCACCAGATCTATTCAACTGGATCACTAGATCACTGGATCACCGGATCATGCGGCCAGATCACCAGACTCACCAAACGACTGCGTCACCGGACCAGGCGGCGGGATCACTGGATCGTCGGATCAATGAATCAGGAGTCGGGTCAGGCGGCCTGGTCACCGCATCACCTAATCACTGCATCAGTGTTCCGCTCATATGGATGACCATGCAGATCACCAGATCAGGCGGATGGATCACAGGATCACCTGATCAGTCGGCCAGATCACTGCATCAGGCAAATCATTGCATCAGGCGGCTGCATCACTGGACCAACAGGCGGCCAGAACACCAGCTCACCAGACCAGGGGGCTGGAGCACTGGATAAGGCGGCCAGGTCATCGGGCCACAGGATCACCAGATCTAGCAGCCAGATCGCCAGATCACCAGAGCAGGCGGCTAGATCACCAGATCACTGGATCGCCAGATCACTGGATTGGCGGCCAGATCACCAGACAACTGGATCACCAGATCAGGCGGCCGGATCACCGATCACCCGATCAGGCGGCCAGATCACTGGATCAACGGATCAACGGATCACTGAATCAGACACCAGATAACCAAATCACAAGATCAGGCAACTGGATCACTGGATCAAGCGGCTGGATCACCGCATCCCCGCATCAGGCGGCCAGATCACTGGGACACTGAATCAGGCGGCCGGATCACCAGACTGACTCACCAGATCGGGCAACTGGATCATCAAATCACTGGATAACGGGACCACCAGATCAGGCGGCCCGATCAGTGGATCTCCACACTGACCCTTACACTTGCGAAATACATTCGAATTTGGATTTCCTGGCCAACACGCACCCCAGCGAGAGTCCTTGGGTTCGGCGGAATCGCTATCTCGTTGCTCCCTCCACTCCTTCTGCAGCAGCTCATGCGGCGAGCCCTCCTCCACCACCTTCCCGAGCGACAGGACAACGATCTTGTGAGGGGCACCGTTAGCAGGGGACAGGCTCACGGGGGGTACCATCGAGCTGGGATCGGCGATATATCGCCGATAGATCGGCGATAAGCCCTTGATAGCAGATCCACACGTTCCTGGGCAGGGTGCGCTATCGCGCTCCTGCCGGTGATCAGTGGGCGATTGGGAGTCGATGCGTGCCCCCCTAAGCCTGTATCCCCCTAACGTTGCCCCTGACCTTGTCGTAGTCGATTACGGTGTGCAGGCGGTGGGCCACGGTGACGATGGAGCAGTCTGGCGGCAGCACGCCCGGACTGCGGATGGTCTCTTGAACCTGGGGAACCAGATCTCCGAAGACACATGATGTTTTTTGATCTGGGCGTCTTTTGCTCGATGTCGACCTCTGGGGCCCGTTATCGGGCCCCAGGACAATTAAAAAAACGGATATGTGGCGAGAGACTGGCCACGGGGACAGGACCTCTGGGCGGGGGCCTCCCAAAAGGCCCAGACCAGCGAAAACGAGGCAAGAGTAGGGGCATCACTACCAGACCCTCCCCTGAAAACCAGCTTGTCCGTCTCGATGTCAACGGACGCCGTGGCCTCGTCCAGGAATAGGATCTTCGGCCGCTTCAGCAGCACCCGCGCAAGGCACAGCAGCTGGCACGTTCCGGCGGAGAGGTTGCCGCCCTTTTCATGCACCTGCCATCGCAGAGAAGACAATGTGTATATATATATGTATATATAAATACCTTTTTATATATACACATATACATGTACATACCCATCTATGTGCACACCTCTACATGTGAATGTACATGTATTGTACACCCCTGTATATACACATACACATACATGCAAGTATATATGTGTATATATAGATATACGTATGCATATGTGAATAGACAAGGACATATATCTTTACATATACATGTGCATGCACACATGCCTAAATATACATCTATATGTATACACAAATATACAGTTACACATGCATAGACATACATATACATGCTCATGTACAAATACGTATACATGTACTTATATATATATATATACATATTCAGACGCAACTACACAACCCAGAACATATACATTTAACTGTAATGTGCATTTGTATGGTTACATGGACCTAGACACATCTGCGGTGATTCAGACATGCACAATTACATACACAAACGCATACATACCCGTGTATATATGAGTACCTATGCATACATATGCATGCACGTATACATACACATACACAAACTATGAATGTACATATTCGCATATGTGTATATACGCATGCATGCAACAATGTACAGATACATGCACATATCCATACACGTACGCAAGTACATCTACAAATACACATGCACATACATGTGCACATGCATCCACCTACACATACATATATACAACACATGTACAGACAAATACAAATATACTTATGCATATAAATATACATATACCTATACATATATGTATGCATACAAATGAATGCACATCTACCTATGCATGTACTTGTACGTGTACATTTATGTACGCATACACATACACCTTCACATATACATATACATTTACAAATACAAGTACATATACATGTACATATAAATGCACACATACAGATACACATACACATACACATGCGCGTACACATACACATACACATACACACGCAACACGTGTATGCATATATATATATATAAACAGATAGGCCTACCTATCCATATATGTATATTTATTAAAAATGTACGTATACACATACATATGAATACGCATATGCATACACACTTGTATACACACACCTATATACAGCTGAATATATATATATATACAAATATAAAATATATTTGTATATATGTATATATGTATATAATGATGCGTTGGTGCTTCGCGCCATGCACAGTGGTCTTCGATGTTTGGCATGCAGGCGGAAGTGCAGCAATGTAAAACAGATTATGTCGCGAGAATTCCTTGATGCCTTTTTTGACACAGCCATTATACGAATGTTACGCATTATCCATCACTCATGTTTCCTCTTCCTCTTCCTCATTCTCGCCCTCCTCTGCAAAGTCGTCGACGTCCTCAGCTCTTTTTGCGGAGGTTCCTCCTTGAAGAGCCTCTTGGGAACCTCCAGAAATTTGTCCGAGCTTCTTGGGGCCTTCTGGAGGCCTGATGGTCTCCATCTGGGTGCCTCTGGGGGCTTCCTCGGGCCACCCTGCTTCCAACCGCAGTCTCCCTGAACGACTGGGTCACGATTTGGAATGGTTCGGGGGGCGGTTTGGGACCATCTTGGACAGTCATGGAGCTCTCTTCGGGCCATCTTGGGGCCCTGTTTGGCCGTCGTGGGGCACTGCCTGGATGACCTTTTGGGTAGATTTGGGGCGATGTGTTGGCCTCCTGGGCGGTCTCGGACGCCCGGAAGACCGAAGAATAGAGCACCCCCAAAATCATACCAAAAACATGGGGAACAAATGTTCCTCTGCGTCTAAGAAACTCTTTGGGGTCGTCGTTGGGTCGTCTTCGGGAGTCTAGCAGGTCTCTTGTGGGGCTTTCGCAAGATCGTTCAGCCGTCCTCCTGACCGATTTGGGCCCGTTGCAGGGGCCTCAGGTGCAAGGGGTCCAGTTTTGAAGGACGGATGGGGGATCCCCCCCCCCGCTGGATTGTCAAAATATACCGGAATGGCTACATACAGATACATCTATATATATATATATATATAGAGAGAGAGATATACACATATACACATACACATACAGACACTTTCGCCCCCCCTCCCAAGTGATCATACGCTTTGCCTTATGCTGGGGGATTCCTACTTTTCCGCTCCTTCCGTCGCCACCCTCACTCTCCTCCTATCTTCCGCTCTCATCCTCATTACTCTGCCGCCTCCGTCCCTGTTCGTCGTCCGCTGCGACCTTGTGTTTATCTTGCTACGGATCCGACTACAACCAGAAGTAAAACTTTCAGTACAGTTCACAGTACAGCTCCGATACAGAAGTATATAGTATAGCCACTAAGGCGTCACCCACAGTTTACAATTCAGCTCTTACCAGAACTACTGATACAGGTCCTGCACCAAGCCCCACTGCACAGCCCGCTGCAATTCCTACTACACGTAGCAATGTAGCTCCCACTACGGTTCCTACACTAGATCCTTATACAGCTTAGTGCAGGTCTCTTTCACAAGAACGTACAGTACAGCCAGTACTACAATGGAAACACACAACCTGTAGTACAACTCTTTCAGCTCTAAACGTATTACCACAGGTTATTGATACAGTTGCTCCTACAACGTCTATTGCAGCTCCATCTCTGACTACAGCTCCCAGTGAAAGTCTTACTGCACCCAATAGCACAACTCTCAAACTCCTACAGCAGGTGACTCAGCAGTTGTTACTACAGCCCTGACCCATCCATCTTCTGCGACTGCCAAGAATAGTGACCTCAAACAAATTCACAAATTCATGCGATAACCCGTAATGCAGCCAGCAGCAGATGTCCCACAACAGCCCATCATATCGTTCCTACAACAGCTCCTTCGACTGCCTCTACTACAAGAACGGGTATACATGTCAATAGAAGTACTTGCGCTGCTCCTACGACGATTCAAAATAAATAAACCTCCTAGCAGAAGTCCTGACGCACATTAATGCGACTCTCTCGACAACAAGCGGCACAACTCCCCCTGCAGCTCCTATTACAGGTTCTACATCAGCACGTGTCATTTCAGCTCCTACTACATCTCCCTCACACAACGAATCACCTAAATTCGTTCCATGCCATACTGAAGCCAGTCATACGGGTCTCGTTACAGATCATGCTACAAACACCTCCATTCAGATCCAGAAGGGGGTCATGCACCATCTCCGATTGTAGCCAGCAGTACAAATCCCCTACAGTTCCCACTCTTAGTATAACAGCAGCTCGCACGTGAGCCTATACTACGAATCATACACGGTAGCACATTTCCTGCACAGTTTACTTTAAAATTCCCACGGCTGATTATGTCCCAGCCAATCGTAACGCTCCTACCGCTCTGACCACAGCTCATGCGACACATCGTGTTACAGTTGCTGCTGCGAGGTCCTCCCAGCATTACGACAGGCTGCACTACAACTCTCACGACAGCGACTGATGCAGCCAGAAGAACAGTACCCGGTACAGCTCTAACGACAACTCCTGCAACAACTCCTTTGTTCAGCTCGTACTACACCTCCTCTCACAGTGACTACCACTCAGCTCCTTGGATCGTTCCTGGTACAACCGTTCATACAATGTTCAATACAGCTCCTGCTACAGCCCAAATTACAGCTGATGCGACATATCCCCGCGCAGCTCGAACTGCAATTCCAACAACAGTCAATCGCACAGCTTCCAGCACTGACCTCACGAATGTTCCCACGAAAAAAATGCAACCAACAGTACAGATCCCAATGCAGATCTCAGCACATCCCCCAATGCAGTTCTACAAATACTTAACTGTGACGCCAGCAGTACAATTCTCTCACCAGAGCTCCGACTAAAGCGTATACAGCACGTTAACTCAGATCACACTCACACAGCTCCAATTACAGTCCCGATCAGCCTTTACTGCAGACGATAGTAGCGTTCTGACTGCAACTCTTACGTTTGCTCCCCACACCACTGCTCTTGAAAATTATCCTGGCGAAGGACCCAACCATATGCAATTGTGAATACCGCAATTGTGAATATCTTCTTCGGTGGCGCTCCCTATGGGGCCACGAAGCGTGTGAGGGGTGTGCCGAAATGGGTGCGCGGGACGCGTGCGGGCACACCCACGGGGGCCTTCGGTGGAGCTCCCTATGGGGCCACGAAACGTGTGAGGGGTGTGCCGGAATGGGTGTGCGGGACGCATGCGGGCACACCCACTGGAACCTTCGGTGGAGCCCCCTACGGGGCCACGAAACGTGCGAGGGGTGTGCCGAAATGGGTGTGCGGGACGCATGCGGGCACACCCACTGGGGCCTTCCGTGGAGCTCCCTATGGGGCCACGAGACGTGTGAGGGGTCACGAAACGCGTGAGGGGTGTGCCGAGATGGGTGTGCGGGACGCGTGCGGGCACACCCACTGGGGCCTTCGGTGGAGCTCCCTATGGGGCCACGAAACGTGTGGAAGAGCATGCCGAAATGGGTGTGCGGGACGCATGCGGGCACACCCACTGGGACCTTCGGTGGAGCTCCCTATGGGGCCACGAACCGTGTGAGGGGTGTGCCGAAATGGGTGTGCGGGACGCATGCGGGCACACCCACTGGGACCTTCGGTGGAGCTCCCTATGGGGCCACGAAACGTGTGAGGGGTGTGCCGAGATGGGTGTGCGGGACGCATGCGGGCACACCCACTGGGACCTTCGGTGGAGCGCCCTATGGGGCCTCGAAACGTGTGAAGGGTGTGCCGAAATGTGTGTGGGGGACGCATGCGGGCACACTCACTGGGACCTTCTGTGGAGCTCCCTATGGGGCCACGAAACGTGTGAGGGGTGTGCCGACATTGGGTGTGGGGGACGCATGCGGGCGGTGGCACTGGGATCTTCGGTGGAGTGCCCTATGGGGCCACGAAACGTGTGAGGGGTGTGCCGAATTGGTGTGGTGGACGTATGCGGTGCGGACAGCACTGGGGCCTTCGGCCGGAGCTGCCCTATGGGGGCCACGAGACGTGTGAGGGGTGTGCCGAAATTGAATGTGCGGGGGGGGGC